CAGCAGGGTCAACTTCTTGTTCATCATATTCTTTCTAATGAGAAAGACCGCAGAAGTTTTAACCAAACCTCTTCCCTTGAACTATTTTCAATGTTGAACTATCAAACTCAGAGTCCACCCATCCTTTCCCATGAGTTTGCTAGGTGACGAAAGGGAGAAGACTAATCTAAATTGTCGTGTTGGTTGTGTTAACAGAAGTCTGTTAGTGGTCCTAACAGATGATACTTTTCTATTTGTGGAGTTTGTTATGTGTGATGTATAAATACCGAAGTGTGCGGGATCAAAATGCAAGAAACTAAGGACGATTCACTTTCTTCTCTCTTTCTCATCTGTGACTATAGCTCTGATAATTTCCATATAATTGGAAAAAGCATATAACGAACTGATTATTGGTGCCTTACCCTTTCAAAATTAAACAAAGCATTTTGGCCTGCATATTTTTCATGAAACATGGAAAATTGGCAAGTCAAGATTTGGACTGTAATATATTAAACCAAAAGAAGAGAAAGGAAAACCTTGGGAAAAAATGTAACTTAAAATTGCATATTTTTCAATAATACTTTCTACAGCGACTACACTATAAGGTAGGCAATGCACTTGCACCATCCAATACCTTTTCATATCATGCAGAATTAACTAATCCAATCACTGAATAATGTGATATTATGTTAACCATATATACCAAATTTTAGGTAATTTAAACATTCATAAATAGGTAATATATTTGTAGATATTTATATTTTAACTAGCATATTATACTCAAAGCGATCCAGTCAAGTATGCATTAATTTTTTAATATATGAAATTTGTATACTTGATTTATATCACAAATCACAAATATGAGAATTTTTAATCCATCAGTTAGATTGACAAAATTTAACACGCATAAAAAAGTTCCAAAGACTAACAACCGAAGCAAGTATACCAAGACCCCATGTTTGACACATTTAATACATATAAAGTTTCCACCTGAACAAGAACTTTTTTTTTCATGATGATCAACCTTATAGAAAAAAGACAATAAGTGTGGATGCCATTCAACACATAAGCCCCGGCTTTAACATTTTAAGTATTTTTTGTTAAAAAATATTCAGCAGAGCTAACAGCAAGAGAGCTCAATGACAAACCTTGGCAATTGATAGTGCTTATTTCTGGCCCTTTCATTTCTACCCCATCATCATCCAGCAGAACCATCCCTGATGATGTTATCTTAAAAGGGAAAGCCAGAGCGGGTGATATGGGAGATTTGGCCAATTTAATAAACCTTTGACCTGTGGGAAATTGAACATTTAAAATTCAAATATGTAATACAGACACTATCATATATTACAATAAATGGTGGTGGAGGGATTGAAACTTGTTACAATATATGGATCCTAAAGTAGACCTAAAATAATAATCATGTATTATACTTGTATTGCGTCGGTTACACCCAGTTATTTTTAAGTTGGCCTATTAGAAATTGCATTATTCCTGTACTTGACCTATCCACCCAATGCATATTTGGTTTTTATCTTTTTTTTTTCTTTTAAAATCTCTTTTAAATATTAAACTACAAGTTGTTTTGAATCTAAAATATGCTAATACAAATGCACCAAACTCATTAATACAAATTGGGTACAAGTTTAGTGTTATGTATCAAAACTATTCAGACTCTCTTTGGTAAATTATATTATCTTATGCTTCATCCCTAACTCTCCTTTAATCTTTTCATCTAAACGCTATTTTTGCTTTCTTGAAGCTCTAATCACTTAAGAATATTTAGCTAAAATTTATCAAAACATCAACTAAGAATGGAGACATTTAATAAAAGTCATCCGCATAACTTCCTCATTTTACAAATAGAATGAAGGATAATTAACAATTGATTAATGTCTAACCTCTACCGATTCAAACAAATAACAATGTAAAAGACTCCAAGGCTATCAAAATTGTTATTAAGTGATGTGTACTAGGTGTGTTGGAAGTCATTATATATATACTAGGTGTCCTGTAAGTGTTTGTGTAGATACTACCCGAACTTAAACCGTTGGAGGGGCTGGTGATTTTGGGTAGAGGTTGTAAGTTCAAGCATACGAATGACTCCCAAGACACCTAGGTTTAGATATATATATATATATATATATATATAATATCTACAATATATATATATATATATATATATGTATATATATATGTATATATATATATGTATGTATGTATAGTCTAGATTCGTTGATATTAGGTGTAAGTTTAAGCACTTACACCAAATTTTATATCTTTAATAACTTTTTTCTACAATGCAAATGTAAAAGATTCAACCATTGAATTATGTTATATTATACTCGAGATCATGTATATCAAATTTTACATGATTTGGACTTTTCTAGATATGTTTTTCTTTCCATATATTTTAAATATCATATTATACATTAAAATAAAACAATGCGATAAACTACTAAATAATTTTAAAATTATGTAAAATTTGATACAGATGATCTTAAATATAATATTATATAATTCAACCATCCAAATATTTAAATTTGCATTACATAAACAATTATTAAAGGTGTAAAATTTAGTGTAAGTGTTTAGACTTAGAGATAAATATATAAATAAATAAATAAATATATAAA